GTAAAATGTGAAGGAGGAGTCTGTGGGATTAACCAGGTTTTTTGGTCCAAGAAAACAAAATGGTGGAGTTGCCGTTAACTGAGATGAACAGTTTTGGGGGCGATGATGGGGACTGCAGTTTGGGACATGTTAAACTTGAGGTACCATTGCACATGCTGGTGGCGACGTCAAGTAGTGGTTGGTCTTAAGTGTCTAGGATTCAGAGGAGAGGTCCAGGCTGGAGATAAACTGGCCTTCGGGATGGCAATCCGAGCCATGTGACCAGATGAACTCTCCCAGCAGAATGAATGCAGTGAGGACGAAGGGGTCCAAGCACCTGGCCCTTCGCTCATTTGTGGTCTTGCAAAGACGAATTTGAATTGTGGGCAGCATCTAAGGGAAACTTTTTCTTAAGATTTGTTTTCGAGTAATCTCTACACCCAGTGTGGGGTTCAGACTTACAGCCCCGAGATCAAGAGTCACACACTCGACCAACTGAACTGGACAAGCACCCCAACTTTTTCTTTATTTGTCTCTGTGTACATGTTTTTCAGAAGTAGTTATGTGATCTGTGGGTTTGGTATGGCCCTCTGGGAACAGATGCCCAGGAATGATAGGTCACTCCCTCTTTAATGCCACCTGTGTTCCGGAACTCCTCGTGTCTTGCTGAGTTTCCCAGGCGTGATCCCAGAAGCTGAGCAGCCCGAATGGATTCCAGTGTCTGTTGGAACAGTGTCCTGTTGTAGGTTTGCCCTGCTCTGGGTGGAGTGTGAAATTTTGTAACTGGTTACGAAAAAGCGTTTCAGCACTGGGGAGATGTGCTTCTGAGCATTTCAGACGAATGCTCCTGGCACTGCTACCTCTGTTATTTTGAGGTTATTTTAGCCTTGAGTGCTAGTGCCTTTATTTTAGGAAACGAGCTGGTGTGCTCCTATCCTGGCTGTTGTCAGGTTATCCTGAACTTGGCCACTCCAGCAGTGTGTTGGGTGTGCGGGGCCGTGGGAGGGAGTGGGTGGTGCTGATTCTGGTTCACCCTATCAGGACCTCGGTTGACATATCATAGGATGCTTCATAGTGGGGTATGGTGGAGGCGAGTCCCAAGTACTGGCATCCCTAGAATTCTGAACTAATTATAATTAGCAGCTGATAATAATTGCATTTCTCCTAAAAGGTTACATACTGAGGTTCTAGTCCTAGAATCCCATTTCTTTTTTAATTACCAGAATTGGCAATTGATATAAAATATATGTTTTTAATGTGTGTTTACTAAATGTTTGAAACTAAATAACTTAATACAAAACTGAATACAAAAGCTATAAACGTACATTTGTGGTGGGGGTTTCTGCGTGGTGTGGCATTGCTTTTTTGTTTTCTTGGGGTCGTTTTATTTTTGGAGGGATGAAGTTTGGGCATTGATAGGAAAACCTATTTTGTTTGTTTTTAATGATATTCTGATTTTCTAACAGAGAAGTAATAATACCCATTATAGAAAATTTGGGAAATAAAAAAAGAATTTGAAAAACTGAGGTCAGGGACTCCTGGGAGCCTCAGTCGGTTAAGCATCTGCCTTCGCCTCAGGTCATGATCCCAGGATTTGAGGGATCGAGCCCCACATCAGGCTCCTTGCTCAGTGGGGAGTCTGCTTCTTCCTCTCCCTCTGCTCTCACCCCCTCTCAGCACATTCTCTTTCTGTGTGTCTCAATTAAATAAAATCTTAAAAATAAATACATATAAAAAAAATAAAACCTGAAGTCGTCTATAACCCAGCAATATCACTATTCGCATCTTATCCTTTTTCCTTTGCTGTGATTATGGGGCCATATGTGAGACTTGATATCCAAGTGATACAAGCCAGATCTGTAGAAAACGATGTGCATATGAGCCATGAGCATACTCAGGTTTTTATTTGCATTTTTATTTTTTTTCATACTCAAGTTTTTAAATGCTTTAGATTTAGATTATCTGTGATTCCTGTTTCGTCATCTTATTTCCTCATCTTCTGTAAGCCATTTGTGCCTCCTTGTTATTAGGGGTGCTACCCTTGTTATCAACTTGGTTCACATAACAAAAACCCACATAGGTTTTTGGGTTTTTTTAAAGATTTTATTTATTTATTTGACAGACAGAGATCACAAGTAGGCAGAGAGGCAGGCAGAGAGAGAGGAAGGGAAGCCGACTCCCCGCTGAGCAGAGAGCCCGATGTGGGACTCGATCCCAGGACCCTGAGACCATGACCTGAGCTGAAGGCAGAGGCTTAACCCACTGAGCCACCCAGGCTCCCAAACCCACATAGGTTTTTATCTGTTTGGTTCTTTGTTGAGACTTCTGCTAGAGTTTTCCTGCTGTCAGTTATCCATACCCAGAATGGGACATCTATGTGACATGACGAGTGCTGCTTATAGTTTGGAAACATGCTCAGGAAAGCCAGTCACAGCATGGAGGGCTAATTTATGCACAGTTTCTTTCAGAGTGTGTTTAATGAATGCTGATATTTATAGTCTGATTCTGATATCTCTTTACTCATGTATTTTCCATCTCCCCTACCAACTTGCAAGCTCCGTGGGGGTGGGAATGCGTCTGGTTTGCTCATCACTGCACTCCCAGCACCAAGCCCACATCAGGTCTTCAAGTGAATGTTGAGTGAATGGACTTCACTTGTTTGGCAAATGAAGAAAATTGAAGTAATTGTATTTACTGCACGTATTTTTGATGTTCTAATGTATCAACTGACTGACACATTAAAATATTTAATTTTTTTAAGATTATTTATTTATTTATTTATTTGACAGAGATCACAGTAGGCAGAGAGGCAGGCGGAGAGAGAGAGGAGGAAGCAGACTCCCTGCCTAGCAGAGAGCCCGATTTGGGGCTTGATCCCAGGACCCTGAGATCATGACCTGAGCCGAAGGTGGAGACTTTAACCCACTGAGCCACCCAGGCGCCCCTAAAATATTTAATATTTAAAAGAAAAATACTTGGGATGCCTGGGTGGCTCAGTTGGTTAAGCAGCTGCCTTCGGCTCAGGTCAGGATCCCAGCGTCCTGGGATCGAGTCCCACATCGGGCTCCTTGCTCAGCAGGGAGCCTGCTTCTCCCTCTGCCTCTGCCTGTGCTCATTCTCTCTGACAAATAAATAAATAAAATCTTTAAAAAAAAAAAAAAAAGAAAAGAAAAATACTTTTAAGCATTTTGTATTTGTATAATCTACTGTGTTTAATTTTTTTTTCAGTTTCTTCTCAGCAATATATATATCATCAAAGTAAATAGGTTACTGTAAGAGTACAGGTTACTTTTAGTCTAATCTCTGTCATTCCACTTGTCCTTCTGTGAAACCTAAAGGTAAAGGACATTTAAAAACTTGCATGTGGGCGCCTGGGTGGCTCAGTTGGTTGAGCGGCTGCCTTCGGCTTGGGTCATGGTCCTGGAGTCCTGGGATCGAGTCCTGCATCGGGCTCCCTGCTTGGCGGGGAGTCTGCTTCTCCCTCTGACCCTCCCCCTTCTCATACTCTCTCTCTCAAATAAATAAATAAAATCTTTTAAAAAAAAAAAATTAAAAAAAAAAAAACTTGCATGTGCCCTACCTAAAAGTGGGTCAAGTGAGGCTCAAAATTACATCATTGGGGCACCTGGGTGGCTCAGTCAGTCACTTAAGCACCAGACTCTTGGTTTCGGCTCAATTTATGATGTCAGGGTCATGGGGTCAGCCTTTGTAGGGCTCCAAGCTCAGTGCAGAGTCTGCTTGTTTCCCCCTGCTCCCACATGCTCGCAGTATCTCTCTCAAATAAATAAATGGGATCTTTGAAACAAACAGATTTTTTTAAATTACATCATTACTTATACTCAATTATTATTATTTTTTAAAGATTTTATTTATTTATTTGACAGAGATCACAAGTAGGCAGAGAGGCAGGCAGAGAGAGGAGGAAGCAGGCTCCCTGCTGAGCAGAGAGCCCGATGCAGGGCTCGATCCCAGGACTCTGGGATCATGACCTGAGCTGAAGGCAGAGGCTTAACCCACTGAGCCACCCAGGCGCCCCTATTCAATTATTTTTAAATATTCTAGTTAATTCCAGCCTTCTAGCATGATTCCTGGTTATGCTGATTAGCCCCATCATTTGACTAGCTTTCTTTTTTTTTTTTGGTAAAGTAGGAAGTTTGATGTGGGGCTTGAACTCACAACCCTGAGATCCAGAGTCGCATGCTCTACTGACTGAGCCAGCCATGCAGCCTTGGCTAGCAAATTTCTAGTATTGAAGCTCAAAGTTTTGGGTTTAGAAAGGCTGCATTTGGCCTTTTGATGTTCTTTTGAAATCTCAGGAATTTTAAGATTCTTTTTTTTTTTTTTTAAGATTTTATTTATTTATTTGACAGAGACACAGCGAGAGAGGGAACACAAGCAGGGGGAGTGGGAGAGGGGGAAGCAGGCTTCCCACCGAGCAGGGAGCCTGATGTGGGACCTGATCCCAGGACCCTGGGATCATGACCTGAGCCGAAGGCAGAGGCTTCAACCCACTGAGCCACCCAGGTGCCCCAGAGTTGTAAGATTCTGAAACAGTTTTTGGAGCAAAGTTAATTTAAAAGAATTTTTAAATTACAACATTGTGCACTTTTTATTAGAGTAGAGACAAAGTAAGATTAAGTAGGATATCCTGAGCTGACTCCTGAATGAGTTTGAACCGTAATTTTTTTTTTAAGATTTCATTTATTTATTTGACAGAGAGAGACACAGAGGGCGAACACAAGCAGGGGGAGTGAGAGAGAGAGAAGCAGGCTTCCCGCTGAGCAGGGAGCCTGATGCAGGGCTCGATCCCAGGGCCCGGAATCATGACCCGAGCTGAAGGCAGCTGCTTGAGAGCTGAGTCACCCGGGCGCCCCTGAACCGTAATTTTTGTGATAGTTTTATAGTGGCCATAATTTCCACAATTTTGTCTGCTAAAAGTGTGGCTGTCAAGACCTAGAAAGCATCCTTTTTTTTTCTTCTTTTTGTAATTTATGGTAAATATTTTTAGGTTTAACGTGTAGCCCTAAAGAACCAGAAACCCAAAGGAACCAATACTCCTGCTCCACAGAGTCCCACCTGTAGTGAGGCTGTTTCTGGAATCGGTGTGATGACCAAGGTTTTGGGCATGGCTGCAGTTCGGGGCCCTCGGCCTCCACGGGAGAGGGGGCCTCTGGTGGTTAAAGATGAGGACGAAGAGGAAAGGCAGAGCCTTCCTAGCCTGGAGGTGTTCCGCCAGCGCTTCCGGCAGTTTGGCTACCATGACACACCTGGCCCCCGGGAGGCCCTGAGCCAGCTCCGGGTGCTGTGCTGCGAGTGGCTGAGGCCCGAGATCCACACCAAGGAGCAGATCCTGGAGCTGCTGGTGCTGGAGCAGTTCCTGACCATCCTGCCCCAGGAGCTCCAGGCCTGGGTGCAGGAGCACTGCCCGGAGAGCGCCGAAGAGGCCGTCACTCTCCTAGAGGATCTGGAGCAGGAACTGGACGAGCCAGCACAGCAGGTAGACTGGGGAGACCTCACATGCTGGGAGGCTGGGAATGGAGCGCTCTGGGCAGGACTGGGTTTATCTGTCCAGTGGGAGGAGCTGAATAGAAGTTTCTGCTGACTTAGATCCCATTTCCTCCTGCTTCCCTTCTCCTGTCCAGTATTGATCTTTAACTGTGGACGTGTTTGCTTTCTTTTTCCAAGCGGTTGTACTTTAGCTCTCCTGGGGCTTCCTTTCATTCTGCAGTGGACCCTTGAACAACACAGGGGTTAGGGTTGTTAACCTCTCCCCACCCTCCAGCACACGTTCATTTGAAAATCCCGGTTTAACTTTTGATTCCCCCAAAGCTTAACTTCTAAATGGCCTCCTGTTGACTAGAAGCTTGACCGATAACATACATAGCCAATTAGCACTTATTTTGTACGTTATGTGTGTTATATGCCATGTTCTTATAATAAAGTAAGCTAGAGAAAGGAAAACATTAAGAAAATCATAAGAAGAGTAAATACATTTACTGTACTGTATGTATCAAAAAAAAAAAATACATGTATAAGTGGGCCTGTGTAGTTCAGACTCGTGTTCAGGGATCACCTGTAGTTCTGAGATGAGCTGTGCACAAACCCCACCGTTCCTGGTTGTCTCTAGGTCTCACCTCCTCCAAACGAACAGCAACAGGTGTGGGAGAAGAGGTCCTCCTCAGGAACAGCAACATTTCCAAGCAGCACACAGCCCCAGTCTGCAGAGACCAGTCACAAAAGCGAGGGTTGGGAGCCCTTGTACATCCAGGAGACTGGGGAAGAGGAGGATCTCACTCCAGAGCTGAGAAAGAGTCAAGGTAGGGACTGTCTGTCAGGCTGTGTGCTTGGTGCCCCGCGCCTTTGTGGTGGAAGAAACAGAATAATTCTCATTACTGGCTGTGAGGCAGCGCCCCTAGACGGACTTGCCTGGTCTGGGTGCCTAGGCAGGACGAGTGCCTGAGTGCCCTTCCTCCCAAGTGCGTCTCACGCATAGAGTCAGCGTGGGGACAGGACGTACTCTTAAAAGGGTTGGTCAGAGTGAGTTTAAAAGCAGGACTGTTTGGGGCACCTGGATGGCTCAGTCAGTTTAAGCGTCTGCCTTCCGATCGGGTCATGATCCCAGGGTCCTGGGATCAGGTCCCACATCAGGCTCCTTGCTCGGTGGGGAGCCTGCTTCTCCCTCTGTCTGCCGCTCCCCTTGCTTGTGCTCTCTCTGTCTGTGTCAAAGAAAAGCTGTAAAAAAAGTTGGGGGGCACTGTTCCCAGAGGTGTAATGGGTTGAAGGAACAGTGATAGATGATGCTTGTTCATTTGTTAATGACTGAACGAAGAAGCTGTTAAAGTCAGCATGGGATTGTGCAGAAATGGTCCCAGGTAAATTCTTTTCAGCTTCTGCCTCGTAAGGTTATTTAAAATATTTTGCTTATTTATTGAGCTACTTATTTCCCACACGTAGTACACGGCAGCTTGAAGGAAAGTCTGTACATGCATCCAGGCGACTGCTCATCACCCAGAGCGAAAGGGACACGTATCTGTCGCTGCCGGTGGCCAGGACAAAGAGATGGTAGAGTGGAGAGAGAGCTCCAGGGACCAGGGAAGGGGCTAAGAGGAAAGTACTGTGTTGACAGAGACTTCTATACTCCTGGGGGGCCAGCAGGTCTCAGGGGGGCCCCTGGTTCAGTGTGGATTTCTCTTACTCCCCTTTTCCGTGCGTGTGCACCTGAAAGTGTGGCGGCCTCGTGTAGTGCTCTGAAAAAGATGGTTGGCTTCAGTCTGGTTTTAGCAGTATTAACTTTAGAACCGAAAGAAGCATGAGACACAGCCGCTGTAGGGTACATGCTGGGAATCAGACCCTCCTGGGACGTGAGCACTTTGGTGTAAAGACGATCTGGGACTAGCCTGGTCTACACGGACTGAATGTCCTCTTTTGTTGCTTTTATATTCCACTTCTGTGAGCACGTGGATCTCATGAGTTTGCCACTGGCCTCCTCTCCCTTAATTACCGTTTATTTTCCTCAACTTGGACCATTCGGCAATGTTTCTTACTTGTTGTTTGTGCCTGACCATCACCCAGCTCCTTTGCTCCTGTCCCAGGAGGCTTGGTGTGGCCCTCCTAGCCTCTTCATGTGAAGCTCTTCTCCCGGCAGAGAAAGCTGTGTGCTTGTCATACCGTCATAGCTGCTGCTGGGCGGCGGGCTGGTGTGAAAGCCTCGGACTGCAAGCTAGGTCTGGTGGTGACTTGTGTCAGCGTCACGTTGTGACCTGCCACCAAGCGGTAACTTGCTCCCAGCGTCAGCTGACGTTTCTGTTTCTCCTCCAAGTTCCTTCTCGGAATATAAAACAACTGACCTGCTCTTACTCTGCTTCTTGTTTTAGATCGTAACTCGAACACCCAGAATGAGGACTCCATAGATCAGCAGAAAAGTTCTGAAGAGTCTCAGGAGCTCAAAAGGGAGGTTACTCCCATGGTCGTTGCCAGTAAATGTGAGGCCAGGTTAGAAAGGCAGTGGGCAAACCTTGAAAAGGAAAGAGGAACAAAAACTCCTCTTCTAGACAAAGGTTCCAAGAAAGGCAGAGAATTGATTCCCACCAAACCTGCCCCAGGAGAGAGGCGTTACATCTGTGCCGAGTGCGGAAAAGCCTTTAGTAATAGCTCAAATCTTACCAAGCACCGGAGAACTCACACTGGGGAAAAGCCCTATGTGTGCACCAAGTGTGGGAAGGCTTTCAGCCACAGCTCAAACCTCACCCTCCATTACAGAACACACTTGGTGGACCGGCCCTATGACTGTAAGTGTGGGAAAGCCTTTGGTCAGAGCTCAGACCTCCTTAAACATCAGCGAATGCACACAGAAGAGGCGCCTTATCAGTGTAAAGATTGCGGAAAAGCTTTCAGTGGGAAAGGCAGCCTCATCCGACACTATCGGATCCACACTGGGGAGAAACCTTACCAATGTAACGAGTGTGGAAAGAGCTTTAGTCAGCACGCAGGTCTCAGTTCTCACCAGAGGCTCCACACCGGAGAGAAGCCGTACAAATGTAAGGAGTGTGGGAAAGCCTTTAATCACAGCTCAAATTTTAATAAACACCATAGAATCCATACCGGGGAGAAGCCCTACTGGTGTAATCACTGTGGAAAAACCTTCTGTAGTAAGTCCAATCTTTCCAAACATCAGCGAGTCCACACCGGAGAGGGAGAAGGGCTTTAACTGTCAAGTAATGCTCTCTCGGTGGCGTTTGTTTTTATTAAACTTTAGCCCTTGGATGCTAGGGAGAAGCCCAGTAATTGCGATAAAAACTCTAGTTGTAGATTTTGTTTCACTCGACATCAAGGGGTGCCGGAGGAGAGGGTGCTCAGTGGTGGCACCGTGGGAAGGAGGTGCTGGTGGGCAGTGGAGCGCGGTCCTCTCACACGCTTTGGGTCCCATCAGCCAGGCCGGCACTGCTTCTTGTATAGTTAAAACTGAGTATATCCCGTATAATTAAGGAAGAAACACTGAAACTGTTTAATCGTTTTAACATATATTCAAGAAATAGGATTTGTAAAGAATCGAGCCACATGGAACGCAATTTAATCTGATTCGGAATAAACTTATAACATCTTGTAAACGTGCCTCCAGACTGTTATATGGTGTGTTGGTTACTGAACACTGTTCTCAAGAGGAAACTATTCCTACTGGTTTTAGCTTCGGGGAAATTTGGATTTGGGGTAATTAGAACTTTTTGTGCTCATGAAGGTACGGATCAGGAAATTGGGGTAGAGCCGCTGCATCTTGGTCTACATTGTGCTTTATTTTATTTTATTTTTTTCCTGTATGCCAAACACATTGTTTTCATCAGGGAGGACATTTGTCAGCCTCGTGTGCGTTTTGATTGTATATGCCTCTTCCACAGTCTGAAAATCCGACTCTGAAGTTTTCTTCTAAACCCCACACCTCAGTAAGATCCAGCATGATTCCTTTAAGTCCATCCTGTCTGTCCCCTGCCTGGAGTCAGGTGAGATCTTTGCGTGGTCTCCAAGAAGAGTCTAATCTCCTACAGCAAGGGGGGGACGAGATGCATTTGTTGGGCCGGAGGGTTCTGGAGAATTTGGGGCTTGAGGTACTCAAGCACACCTCCTCAGATGTCCCATGCATCAGGATCCCAGTCTCTCCCAGTCGGGGCCCAGAGTTTGGGGATAAATGACCTGACAAGACTTGGCATTTAGCTGTCTCTGCAGTTCTTCCACCCTCGCAGTCGGCCGTGAGCTGGTGTTCAGGCCCGTCTGCTCTTGCTACAGAAGATGGGGATCTCTGTAATCCCTCCTGTGGGCAACTAGGGCTTTCACAACATGCCCTGAAATGATAGTTGGCTGAACTAAGCCTATAATTTTCTTTCTTCAAAGCTTGAGAGAGAAACTGGAGTCCTCGTAATTGCCACTATGCCAGTAATGTTTCAAGTTCTAGGACTACTACAGAAGCTAATGCTTCCTCTTCTACCTGAATCTCATCCCTTGCCGTAACTGGTGGGAACCTTCCTAATGCCCATGGTAGAGCGTGCCAGGAGCCATCACTACCGTGCTCGTTACAGGCTCCTCTTACTAACCATCTGACCAGTGAGTGACCTGTTGCCAGAATCCCATTCTGAGGGCGCCGTTTCTAGGGCCACTTCCAGTACCGACTGTTAACAGGTTGGATTTCCCCTAAAACAGCCCGTGACAAGGGCTTAAGGGCAGATAGTTTATTTAGGGAGATGATTCCAGGAAGCCAGGTGTGAAGGAACAGGAAAGGAGGGGAGGACGAAACCAAGAGTGGGTGCACTGTTGAGCTGGTGGCTTCTGTAGGCAACTAGTACTCGAATCTGGGGACCATTACAGAACAACACAACAAATGGGAGCAACTAGTATACCCGAGCTCTGTTCCCATCCCAGTGCCCAGCTGTGGTTAGGAGGCAGTGCCTCCTTGGCTCCGGGAGAGTGGCTGAGAACCCCTGGTAGATGGGAAGAAACTGTCCCCAGGGGCTTTGAGGCTGTCGGTCTGAAGATGCTGTGAGCCACGCCCCCCCCATATCACCCAAATATGCATCTTTACACACACGCAGGCAAATGCACAAGACTTACATTTGGATTCTACATAATATTGGGGTCATACTTACACTAAAAAGATGATTCCGTGTTTATCTGAAATTCAAATTTTTCTTTTTTTTTTTTTTTAATATTTATTTGACAGAGATCACAAGTAGGCAGAGAGGCAGGCAGAGAGAGGAGGAAGCAGGCTCCCTGCTGAGCAGAAAGCCCGATGTGGGACTCGATCCCAGGACCCTGGGATCATGACCTGAGCCGAAGGCAGAGGCTTTAACCCACTGAGCCACCCAGGCGCCCCTGAAATTCAAATTTTTCACTGGGCATCGCGTATCTTGCAGTCCTGCGCCTGGCACCTGGGGACAACAGTGCTTCCAACCGTTTGTCTCCCCAAATGTGGTAAAATCTGATGAACTGAGGGGACTCACTTACACCCATAAAATGTATATTTGTGGATGAGGTGGCAGCTTTATGCATCCCAGGAAATACACTGTGACTATAAATTCTAGAACAGCCCCTTAGTGCTAGCCTGGAAATCAGGGCAGTGGCCCTTTCCTTGCAGACCACCTCCAGAATTCTCTCTGATGGAGATTGCCTGCTGCTAGGAGACAGAAGTGTCCGATCTAGCTTGAGATGGGAAATAATACATAGCTGTTTGCACATTTCTGTGTAATGGCTTAATTTCACCCCGTCCAGTCTGTCTACCATGACTTACATATAGTCCAAGCATACGATTCAAAAATATGATTCTAGATGAATAAACCAATTTTCACTCTTATTACTACATTTGTAGTAATATCAGAGCTAATATATGTTCACATTTCATTTTTTTCAATCTTTTAAATTGTAAAATACACAACAAAATGTACCATGTTACACACCTTAAAAATATATAACTTATTAAAGACATGTAAGCTTTAAATTTATTCTAAGCTAATAGAAAAGATCTCATTTTAGGGGGTACCTCGGTGGTTCAGTTGGTTGGGTGTCTGCCTTCAGGACAAGTCATGATCCCAGGGCCCTGGGATCGAACCCCCACATTGGGTTCCCTGCTTAGCATGGAGTCTGCTTCTCCGTCTCCCTCTGCTCTTCACCCCCCTCCCGCCCCCCCTCGTACTCTCTCACTCTCTCAAATAAATGAAATCTTTCAAAAAAGAAAACATCTCAGGGCACCTGGATGGCTCAGTGGGTTAAGCCTCTGCCTTCGGCTCAGGTCATGATCTCAGGGTCCTGGGATCAAGCCCCACATCGGGCTCTCTGCTCAGCAGACAGCCTGCTTCCCCTTCTCTCTGCTTGCCTCTCTGCCTACTTGTGACATCTGTCTGTCTGTCTGTCTCTCTCTCTCTGTCGAATAAATAAATAAAGTCTTTAAAAAAATGGATTGGCAGTATCAATATTAACTCATTTCTTTAGAGTAAGATACCTTTTTTTATTTCTGTCCAAGAGCAGTTGCCCAGAAATAACGTGAACCCCAATATGTATATATTCCCACCCACCCCTACTATGTGGCACCAGTGTTCCTCAGAGAAATAGCTAATTTTATATTTAGGGGGGGAAAAAGTGAACCTGGGGATTTTGTTGTGCCAAAAGGCTTTCAAATTTATTTATTTATTTTTTATTTATTTCAAAATTATTATTATGTTGAAATGACACTGGGATCAATCTGAAATGAGCTCATATTGGACACCTGGGTGGTTCAGTCAGCTAAGCATTTGGCTTTGGTTCTGGTGATGACCCCAGGGTCCTGGGATCGAGTCCTGCCTCAGGCTCCTTGCTCAACTGGGAGTCCCCCTCTAACTCTGCCTGCTGCTCCCCCTGCTTGTGCTGTCTCTCTGAGCTGAGGTGGACTGTCATATATGTAGTCTAAGAAGCCAGCTCTGGGGGTAAGAAACTGGACCAACTTCATCAGGAGGGAAGATGGCTGTGAAGGAGGGCACTCTGGCCAAGGGAGCAATTTTAAAGGTGTACAGATAGAAAATATAAGGCTCTGGCAATTGATTCTCTCAAAACTAGCTGTCTACGCAGACACTCTGAGAATATTTGTGTTCTCCATCCCCCATCCCTACCTGCCAGTTTGGTCATATCCTTGTTGAAGACGGCTATATTCTGACACAAGACCTCAGTGAGGACACCAGTGCCCTCCCTTCTATTGACTTTTCGTAGGCTTACTTTTTCACTCTTATTTTTTTTTTTTTTTTTTTTTTTTAGATAAAAGCTTTACAGAAGTTCAAACACTCCCTTTCCCACCTTGGTGGATTGCCTTGAGCCTCCCCTAGGTGACTTACGACACTCTGAAGAATAAGGCCATTCAGAGCATGGCCTTCGAGAACTTGCTGGGAATTACCCAGCTGGCTGGGCTCTGGAGCAAACAGCAACCATGAGCTACAAATTGACTTCTCAGCCCTAGAGTGAGAGAGTTGATAGCACGGAACGAGCTGGGAGTCAGAGCTGTTCCTTTTGGATTGTCATTAGGGGACCTTTTACAGAACAAACAATTCCACTTTGAGGAGACCATTTCCACCCTGTTCTCCTTGCCACTCCACTGCCTCCTTCCTCATCTCTGTTCTTCTTGTCCTGGAGGTAGAAGTGGAAGAAAAAGAAATTGAGGAGCGTTTAAAAACAAATACAAGGGGCACCTGGGTGGCTCAGTGGGTTGAGCCGCTGCCTTCGGCTCAGATCATGATCCCAGGTCCTGGGTTCGAGCCCCACATCGGGCTTTCTGCTCAGTGGGGCGCCTGCTTCCTCCTCTCTCTCTGCCTGCCTCTCTGCCTACTTGTGATTTCTCTCTGTCAAATAAATATATAAAATCTTAAAAAAAATTAAAAAAAAATAAAAACAAATACAAAACCAGGGTGGGGCGGGGGGTAGGGGGAGAGAGAGAGAGAGAGAGAGTGTGTGTGTGTGTGTGGTGTTTTGGTGGGGTGGAGTTGGGTATGGAGTTTACTGAGTGGCTTGATTATGGCAAGCATTTGCTCAAATTCTCACTATGGCTTGGGAGGACTGCAGGCCCCCACCCATCTCAGGCCACCCCTCAAGTGTTACTAGTGATTGTGCATTGCTCTGTCCTGCCTCCAGGCCTTTGTCCTGGCTATTCCCTCTGCCTGTAGGTCCCCTTCCCACCCCCCCGCCTGCAGTACCTCTGGAAAGTCTCCTTTCCTAGCAGTTTCCATATTTTGCCGGAATTGGTCACTTAAATTACTGTGCTTAGACTGCCCTCCCGGGAGAGTGAGGGCTGCTGCATTCGCACAGGGGACTGTGGGCGCCATAAATGGGAATAAATGGGAGGCAGGGCCAGAAGGGGCGCCAGGAGCGCCCTCGTTAGTCAGAATATCACAAGATTTCATTCTGTACGTGACCTGGAAGGATTTGATTCCAACACTTATGGGATTACTCCTGTGAGGGCATAAAAGTGAGCAAACCTGGGTGGTTTAGTGGGTTAAAGCCTCTGCCTTTGGCTCAAGTCATGATCCCAGGATTCTGGGATCGAGCCCCGCAGCATCGGGCTCTCTGCTTGGCAGGGAGCCTGCTTCCCCCTCTGTCTGCCTGCGTCTCTGCCTACCTGTAATCTCTGTCAAATAAAATACATTTCTTTAAAAATCTTAAAAAAAAAAAAAAAAAAAGTGAGCAAACCACAAACCACGAAGCCTTCCCCTCCCGCCCCCAAGCATTTCACACATTTAGCTCCTGGGAGGGGGGGGGGACCTCTTGCCAGTTTCCCCGAGTTTTCTCTCTCATCGCTTGTACAGGTTTTGCCCTCACGGGAACCCTCTGATGGGCTGGAACATTCTCTTCGGATTTTAAAGGGGGCATTTTTACATGAAACAAACACAAAACTCGGTTTATTTGGACATTTCAAATACAGGTGAATTTTTTCTAGTGATGAAAACTTCGGAAGTCTTCCTGTTTGCTGCGGGTAGGCTCGGCACCCCGGCCGCTCTGGCAAAGTGCGTTTTCCTCCGCCCTCGCCGACACGCGGGATACCCACGCCGCCCCCGCCGCCTCGGGTCTGCGGCGCCCGAACTTGCGCCCCGAGGCCGAAGGGCGCGGCGCTTCGCCCCGCCCGGCCATCAGGGGGCGCGGCGGCGGGTGGGAGCTCCAGGGCGGGCGTTGGTGTCAGCGCGGGAGCCGCGCGGCCCGGGCCGGGAGTTGGCGAATCACCGAGAGGCGAACTCCTCCAGAGTTCCTAGAGAGAACAAGTGGGCGTGGGGGCTGCGGGGATGGGATGGGTAGTGAAAAGGTCCGACCCGGAAGCGAAATAGAGAGAACTTCCGTTCTTTGTTCTGTCCCGGTGTGTGGGTCTGTGACAGGGTCCAACGGGGCCTGGTCTGTGTCCGGCCCCCCAAATCTCCCGTCCCTGCCCCCAGGGTGAGTCCGGCGGCCCCAGGGGCTCGCGGTGAGACGGAGGCTGTGGCCGCCAGGGAAAGGGGTGGTGTCCGCGCCGCGCCCGTTGGGTCCCCAGGCCCGCCCGTAGCAGGGTGCCGGGAGGCGCCGCTCCCTCCCCCGCAGCCGGTCCCCGACTCCGCTTCCCCGGGGACCTCCCTCCGCCAAACGGGGCCCTGCCAGGAGGGGAGGAAAGGGGCTCCGGTTCTGGGCTTGTGACAACCCAGCTCGAGCCCATAAAAGTTCCAGTATGGCTGCAAACGGGCCCCTCTCTTTAGAACAGCTGATGACAGCTCCCCTAACTTGGTAATTCTCCCAGACGCTTTTATTTGGTGTTAACACAGTTATTCGCGCCAGTGGCAGAAGTCTCTCCTTCGCCGGCTCTGAGATCTGAGTAGGAGTTCCACGAAGTGTTCGCAGTTAGAACTAGGTCTGGAATGCGGGGGTGGGGGGGGAGGTGGCGGTGCAAACTTAGATCCCGGGAATAATCCCGCTGGCGCTCCGTAAATCGAGTTCCTTACGGGGAATGATATAGCCGTGTCTGGCTCCCGCTTTCAATTGTGTTAGATCCCTGACGTGGGATTGAACGCAGATGGAAGTTTCCGCTCTGAATGGCATTCGTAAGCTCTAGGCGAGGCTAGGCAGGGTGATGAACCCGAAATATATGGAATAATGAGAGGAGCTAAAGGTACTTATCCCCAAGAAGAGAAGCGTATGGACAGTGGGCATCATGTGGTTTACAGGCGTTTTGAGGAACGGTTGTGTGGGAGGAGAAAATTCTACTCTTGAAGCTTCTGACGGAGGGTGAGGGGCCTCTGCAAGGTGGAGGGGATAGATTTTCACTTTACCAACCCAAAACCTTTCTGGTGGTGAAGCTTTACATCAACAGACCAGACTCTGTCCTGAAGTTGAGAGTTTCTCGCAAGTTAGGTGTCAGAACATCGAGAACGTGAGAAGGCATTTCTTTCACTTGGGTGAGATTAACCTGGAGAACCTTCAGTGGCCTTTGAGCTCTCCAGGGGTGCAACACAGACAACCAGTTGTGTCTTAATTTTGTTGATTAATGGATGTTCTCTTCTTTTTCTTGTATTTGAGTAGAAATGAAGTTTACATGAATATTTTTAATTCCTTTTCCCGCCTTAATCATACAGCACTGGCATTAACTTAAGTTAGAATCCCAGGAACTTGCACAGAGGCTTCCAGATCCCCGATAATTGCTACTCTGGTCTTCTAGGACCTAACTCCAAAGAAGGAAGGAAAGATTCCAGCAGGTAAAGCTATTCATGACTTGTTCTTACTGCCAGGTCATCTTTGTGAGTCCCCAGGAGCAGCTTTAGGGAGAGGCGTTGGCAGCGGGGCGGGGTAGGGCACTGCCTGGACCTGAAGCTGTGGGGGCACAATGGAGATTTTTCTATGAGAAACATTGTGTGCTGATGCAGACACTGGGGACTTGTTCTTAACAATATGCCTTTGAGTTCCAGCTTTGGGTAACCCAGCTGTGAGGAGGGAGGCTTGCTTTTTCCCTCTGGACTCAGAGCCTCTGAGTTTCCTTTCTAAAGAGAGTTTGGATGAAGAGCTGATTTGTTGGAGGTGTCTGCTTATACACAGTCCCGGAAATCGTCAAGTTGATTGATAGGAACAAAAGATGGCTGGCTCTGAGGCAGAGTGGAAGGGACCCCGGGAGGAGGGCGCTCGTGGCACCTTGATTGCCCCTGGACCTGGCTCACGCCTCATTCAGTGCCTTTCTCTGTGTAAAGGCATCGGTGGGCATTCTATACCCCCTTGTTGCCCAAACACTAGAGGTCTGCGAACTCTTGACTCTCAGGGCCCCTCCCCTTTTTATGCTTTTATGTGAATGCAATTGTCTGTAATGATAAAGCAGATATGGTTCACGTTCCTTTCAGTCGTGCCTTGCGATGTAGTGACACTCAACAGTGGTTTGTTACATGAGCAAATAAATAAAGAGGGAGGTAGACAAAATCCAGGGCTTTATTTTCTTTTCTCTTGCCCAAGTGTAAGAAAGCTCTGGTGGTTGCTTCGTCTGTTCTTGGCCTGTTGATTCTTGTCATGGCATTCAAGTGTGGAGTAGAATCTTCTACCTGAGATCCAAACCTTTGTCTAGATACTCACACATTCTGTTTTATTCAGTAGAGCCACAGAAAACAGACCTCTCTTGATTGTCATAGCATCTGGGGAATGGGGACATCAGCAGGGATAAAAATGGAGTAATAAGTAATTTTTTTTAAGATTTTATTTATTTATTTGACAGAGAAAGAAATCACAAATAGTTGGAGAGGCAGGCAGAGGTGGGGGGGGAAGCAGGCTCCCCGCTGAGCAGAGAGCCCGATGTGGGGCTTGATCCCAGGACCCTGATATCATGACCTGAGCCTAAGGCAGAGGTCCAGTCCACTGAGCCACCCAGGCACCCTCCCCAGGGTTTTTTAAATGAGAGACGGAGAGCTCATGGAAAGTTTCACTGGTCTCTTTTATTTGGGTGCTGTTTTATGACCCCTTTTCCTCAAAGTGTAGTACCCCGTCAGTGTAATACAATAACTAATAACCTAATAAAGTAATTTTTTTTTTCTGTTGGTTCTACTGTTTATGGGGTTTTTTAAAAAAAATCTGTAAACAGAAGCACACCTGAGTGTCTCAGTTGGTTAAGCCTCTGACTCTTGATCTCAGGTCTGATCTCAGGATCCCACATTTACTTAAAAATAAATAATTTTTTAAAAAGATACTACTTATTTATTTGACACAGAGAGATCACAAGTAGGCAGAGAGAGAAGGAGGAGTAGGCTCCCCGCTGAGCAGAGAGCCCAATGCGGGGCTTGATCCCAGCACCCTGGGATCATGACCTGGGCCGAAGGCAGAGGCCTTAACCCACTGAGCCACCCAGGCGCCACGACCACAAACATTCTTAACAGTTTATACAGTACAGGGCACCTGGGTGGCTCAGTTGGTTGGGCGACTGCCTTTGGCTCAGGTCGTGATCCTGGAGTCCCAAGATCCAGTCCCACGTCAGGCTCCCTTGCTCAGGAGGGAGTGTGCTTCTCCCGCTGACCACTCCTCTCTCTCTCTCTCTCTCTCTCTCTCTCTCTCTCCCTCCCTCTCAAATAAATAAGTAAATAAAACCTTAAAGAAAAAAAAGCTTTGGGTATACAGTACATACACATTATACAGTACATACACATTTTGCAAAATCTACGTGTGCACACTTTTACACTTTATCCTGTTTTTCGTTTTTGTTTTTGCTTTTTCAAATTCCAGTTGTTGCTTTAGTGTTTCATGCCGTTAGAGTCATTGTCGCCGGTGTTCCGTGTCTTCTTGTTACAAATATCACTGGGTATGTTGTGGGAGCCAAAGGTGGACTATCGTTCAGGAACAGGGGCCCTTTCTGTGGTGCTCATGGAATCTCACCGAAGGGAGCAAGGGCAGTCCTCACCAGGATCTGGAAGACTGTCCTGGTTGCTGTGATTCCTCTTGCTAATCTTGGGTGCTAACTGAAGTGCTAGCTCCGGGGAGGTGGGGTTTTTTTTGTTGTTGTTTTTTTGTTTTGTTTTTTAAATTTTATTTTTTTTATCATTGAACCTTGGACTCTGCTTCTGCAGTGCTTCCTGCTGAGTCCGCAGACAATAGACCGGAGACCCAGAACTTCTAGCCCTACTCATGGAAACTCAGGCTGATTGTGTATCTCAGGAACCGCAGGCCCTGCTTGAGAGTGGTAAGAAACAGATTCATTTATTCTTGTATTCAGCCATTCAGCAGTCACGCTGCCCGTCTTGCTCACCAGGAGCCGTGCTAACCCCTGGAATCCAGGTGTGGCTAAGACACAGTCCTTCCCAGCTTACAGCCTAGTGGGAAAGCTGACTGAGGCCAACAACGGATGTATGGCTTGGTGGATTTTACAGCCGAGGCATTTGTGAAGGGCCGTTGGGACCTCGTGCAGGATTAAGAAAACCGTGACGCAGTCACAGAATTCCAGGCGCGTGGCAGCAACTGACCTGTAGTCCTACTTTGTGTTCTCTAGGAGCAGGCACTTACCGGAGACTCTTGGGAAATCACTTTGTAGGTCACAGGCATGAGGATGAAATGAGCATTCATATTCTGCTGTCGTGGCCTGTGCCATTGACTTTGGAGCCAATTGCCATCGAAAGGGTATACTAATCAGGAGAAAGCATTTAAGGATCTCTTTGTCCCGTCGATTATACACAGTCTTGTGTCTCTAGGGGCTTAGAGTCTCTCAGGGACAAATATGTTAATTTAAGAATTATAGAAGAAGGGATGTGATCAAGCCCAGAAACAGGAAACATTTGTAGTGTTTAGATTTGACCTGGGGGTAAAGAGAAAGAAGAATGGGCATGGTGGTGTTCAGTTGGGTTTGGGGGAGGCTGCTGGTTTCCTCTGGTCTAAGAGACCTTTGTGCACAAGTTCGAGTTCAGAGATGCGGAGAGGGGTGGAAGGGACGTGAGCAGGATTGTCTGCGTTGCTGGCCAAGCTTGGGAGAAAGGACAAGAAGGTGCTTCTCACTAGCGGGTGTACTGGGCCGGTTTCTGGGAGAGTGCAGTGACCGGACGGAAAGGAAGGGACCTGGGTTAGATGAGAGCAGGATCCACAGAGCTTTGGACACCTCACCTCCCAAGGGAGTGGGTCCTGGCTTGTCCTAGGACCCTGTGACGTCTCTGTGGGTTGGGAGGCCACAGAGCAGATGGGTTCACTCGTGGACCCTTTTCTCGCCCTTCAGCTCTTCCTTCCTCGAAAGTTCCTGCATTTTCCAACAAGGACAGCCTGGGGGATGAGATGTTGGCAGCTGCACTCCTAAAGGCCAAGTCCCAGGTGAGCTGTGGTTCCCTTTATCCTTCTTTTCCTTCCGTCTTTGTGGAAACATTTGTGCCGTGACATCCACTCCGTGTCCCAAACCGTGATTCCCTCCGTCAGGAACATGGTCCTTTCTGCTGAATAACGGACCCCTCTTCCTCTGCCGTAACCTGCTTTCCCCTCCCTCTTAGATACTCATGATTCATCCTCATCCCCAATCATTTTTGGTGCTGGTGGTCCCGTCCCTTACCCTGAAATTGCATGCAAGACCGTGTTGTTTCAGGAGTTGGTGACGTTTGAGGACGTCGCTGTGTACTTCATCCGGAAGGAGTGGAAGCGTTTGGAGCCTGCTCAGAGGGACCTCTATAGGGATGTGATGCTGGAGAATTACGGGAATGTGTTCTCGCTGGGTAAGGAGTTAACGCTTTCTCGGTCAAACTCCCTTGGCATTTCTTTGTTTCCCTGTGGGCTAGGGACACTTGAGTCACAAAATGATCAGCCGAGGATTGACATAGTCTCAGAAAATTCTGACGACAATACTAATAGTAACTCCTGCTTGTAGAGTAATTGGCAGTTTGTAAAGAGCTTTCCTGTACATTGTCTTGTGGAAACCTCCCAGTAACACAGTAATGGAGGTCGCTAGTGTTCCGGTTGTGTTCTTGGTGAGGAACGAGAAGTCAGAGGTCCTCAGTGCTGCACGGTGGTGCTAGCGAATAGCAGGACTCGAGCCCTGGTCTTTTAGCTCCAAATCTGCTGCCTTTTTGCCATGTAATTTTTTCATGTATAATAATTCAGAGCCTTTTCCAAAAGATGAGCATCTCAGGATCCCTGAACACGTGTGGTGCCGCTCTGTGCCCACATGCGCATTCTGGAACTCCTCCTTCCCTTCTCCGTTGTACCACCTCGAGGAATCTGTTGCTCTGTTCAGAACCAGTGTGGCTGCGGCTCCTGGAGAAGTTTCTCCCCTTGTTTCAGGGAGCAGCTGGCGTCTTTAACCTTAGTCTGTGGACTGATAATTCCTTGTCCGTCACGCACCGCTGCGAGAACATTGTCTGGGCGGTCCAGGGGGTCTCCATCACTCCCACTGGAGACTGCCCGTTTCCGTGCTGGCCCCCGACATCCAGGGTGTAGAACCCAGCTCTGGGACCACTTGGTATGAGCAGGACTTGTCCCATGGGGAGGATTTCCATTTCTGAATTTTGACACAATCTTTGGGCTGCCCTGAGAGGAAGAGCTGGGGGTGCTGGGTTTGAAGGGAGCTGAGAGTAGCAGGGTCCCGAGGGACGCCTGTTCAGGTGAGAGAGAAATAGCTTTTTTCTGTTCTCTGATGCCCATTGCCCTGTCTTTACTTCTTCAGATATTGACAGACTAAAAATGCTGTCTAGACCCTTTTCATCATCCTCTCTGCTCAGAGCTCCCTTTGAAAACCCTAAAGCAGTGAAAATAAGGAAGTCCGACAAGAAGACAGTTTATGGATCCTCACATCTTAGCCCAGCCTTTGAGGCCTCGGGCCCAGAGGCAGACTGAGCTCTGTCTTTTGCCTGTTTCCATGGGTTTGGAGTGTGTGGCCTGCTGGATATGGTTCTTTTCACCTGGGGCTGTGGCAGTCTCTGTGGCCTCCCCTTTGTCGCTTCTTCCTGCTCCGTGACTATTTCCTATCACCCTTCTGCGCTCGCTTGCTTATGTTTCTTCTCCCCTATCTTCTGGAAGCCACCATCTCCCCACTTGCATTTCTAGCATCTGACCTCCGTGAGGAGTTTGCCACTTCGTTAAACAGCATGTCCGTTCTCTTCTGTTTCTGGTTCCTGCCCCTACCGGGTCTGTCTTCCTCTCCTCCCATCTCCAGCCTTCTCTATGCTTCCAGCTCTTTCCACTTTGATTTTGCTTCTTGCCTTTCTCCTTCCTGATTTCCTCGATGCTGATCTCTCTGTGTGCTCAGCTGGCCCCAGCCCGGGCAGGTCTGCACGCAGATGAGAGGCGTGTGCTTTTAGCCCTGTAAACACCCTTGTCGTCATTATCCTGCCCGCTGGTCTCGATCCTTTCTTTTGCAAGGACCAAGTGATGTTTGTATTTTGTATTGTGACAGATGGCGAGACCAGAACTGAGCACGATCAAGAAATTTCCGAAGATACAGGATCACATGGGGTGCTGTTGGGAAGGTTCCAAAAGGATATTTCTCAGGGTCTTAAATTCGAAGAAGCCTATGACCAAGAAGTCGGTCTTAAGAGGCAACTGGGGAGCTCCTCTGGAGAAAGACTGACCAGGAAGATAGAAGATTTCGGTCAAGTGACGAATGAGGAAAAGCTAACTCCTGTGGGAGAGAGAAGTGAGAAATACAATGATTTTGGGAACAGCCTCGCTGTGAGTTCTAACCTTATTTCACATCAGAGACTTCCTGTGGGAGACAGACCCCATAAGTGCGATGAATGTAGCAAGAGCTTTAATCGAACTTCAGACCTCATTCAGCATCAGAGAATCCACACTGGGGAGAAACCCTATGAATGTAGTGAGTGTGGGAAGGCCTTCAGCCAGAGCTCACATCTCATTCAGCATCAGAGAATCCACACCGGAGAGAAGCCGTACGAATGTAACGATTGTGGGAAGACCTTCAGCTGCAGCTCTGCCCTCATCCTCCATCGAAGGATCCACACGGGGGAGAAGCCCTACGAATGTAGCGAATGTGGGAAGACCTTTAGCTGGAGCTCTACCCTTACTCATCACCAGAGAATCCACACTGGAGAGAAACCGTACGCCTGTAATGAGTGTGGGAAGGCCTTCAGTAGGAGCTCTACCCTCATCCATCACCAGAGAATCCACACTGGAGAGAAGCCCTATGAATGTAACGAGTGCGGGAAGGCCTTCAGCCAGAGCTCGCACCTCTATCAGCACCAGAGAATCCACACTGGAGAGAAGCCCTATGAATGTATGGAATGCGGAGGAAAGTTTACCTACAGTTCAGGCCTTATTCAGCATCAAAGAATCCACACGGGGGAGAATCCCTACGAATGTAGTGAGTGTGGGAAAGCCTTTCGATACAGCTCAGCTCTGGTCCGCCATCAGAGAATTCACACTGGAGAGAAGCCTTTGAATGTAATGGGAATGAGCAAAAGTTCTCTCAGAGTCGCTGCCGAGCTCAATATCGAAGAGTCTACCTGAGAGAGAGCCGCACACCTGTTTTCCTCACTTCCTCTGATTCTGACGAGCTCCTGCCTTACTACATAAGTATGAACATCTTAGAGCGTGTCCCTTCCGGCTCAAACCTTTCGCTTTAGAGAATGGGGCAGATGGGGGAGATCATCCCGGCACACCCTCGTGACGAGCTACCTGGTCACTTTCCCCCAGGAGTGACACCCAGAGGCGAGCGGCAGGTTGAGTGCTGGGCACGCCAGGGAAGCTCTGGGACCGGTCACCTTCCATTTTGGAAGGGAGTTTGCACTAGCCCGTTTCTCTCACACCAGAGGAGCCTTTCCTTCCAAGGTGGGGAGTGGAAGCACAGTAGGAAGAAAATTCCAAGGACTCCTCTGGTTGGAGTCCATGTAGTCGGCACCGAAGGCAGTGGAAAGAATGTCCCGGGTCCTGCTGTTTGCTAACAAGGGGACACAGAGGCTGTATTTCAAAGCCACTGTCCCTAATCCAGCTTTAGGTTCTGGTAAGGAACCTTTGCTATTTGTTGTTACTTTTTTTGTTCCATGATTTCGTCAATTAATGGAAATTTGGTGCTGAGGGATTTGTTATTTTATTGGGGGGGTTCCGTGAGGTTTTCTGTGATAACTGTATTTTGGGGGGCTCTTGGAGCAGCAGGCCCGTTTCCAAGAGCAGTGAGGCGATTTTGTTGGAGAGCTCCTTGTCCTTCTCTACTGTGATGGGTCTGATTGGGAAATCCATCTGATGAAGAAAGTTTCACAGGGAGAGGATTGAAAGCATTAAGCGTTGGCCTGCTTCTGTTCTCCTCTCTCCCTGTTCCTCTCCCCGCTCCTATGCTGAAAAGTGATTTAATCCAAACCCCCAGTTGCTAAGACTAGAATGCTTTTAAGGAGCTCACTCAGCCAACTTGCCCTGCCCTCTGTCACCTATGACTTACGACATCTGGCCCCAGCAGCCGGACCTCCCGTGACCCCATCTCTGACTTCGGCAGCAAAGGAAGCGCAAAGCCCAGAGAAGGGGAGTCTCTGGCCTGACCTGGCCATCAGGCTCCTTGCTGGGTTAGGCTGGAGCTCCTGAGTGTGCCCAGCTGAAGGGATGATCTTTCGTTCTGTTTTCCCAGTCCTGCTCATCCTGTAGCATAAATGAAGTGCACTATTAAACAGAATAGTTTTTTAGAAGGAGAGATTGAGTGTGTTTTTGTGCAGGAGCCAAATTTATTTGAATTAAAATAGGAAATCGTGAGTATAACTGGAATCTTTAAAATTTACTCTTAAGATTTTTTTTTTTTTTACAACTGTTTTTCTTTCACACACATACGACCTCTGGCTGTCAAGACTCCTGTCCTATTCCTCCAGATACTGCCACAGACTCCGTCACGCACGCATTTGCTCCCCCCTCGTACCCACACGTCGGATTTCGTGTGTGGCCTGTCATTCTGTGTGGTACGATACTTAGGACCAGCAACCCAAACTAGAAAGGTGTTACTGGGTGGCGGGGCGGGGGGGCCTGACCAGCGTGTACTTGGGTTTTGGGTCGCAGGGGGCATAGGTAGATTTCTTGTTCCAGCTGTGGGCGAGAGGAAGTCATTCATGGAGAAGGTGGAGAGGAAAGTGTTACGGAGAAGTTGGGGAACTGTCTGGAACTGCCATCTGAAGATCTTGGAGCATATATTGTAATCGACCTCCCAATATGTTTTTGATTTCTTAAAGCTGTAATGAAACTCCTCACTCTTTTGGCTCTTCTTTGAGATTCGGCCATGGACTATCCCTATTTACAATCACTAGGGCTGCTTGTGAGTCATGGAGGTTTCTGAACCCCCAAATCAGACCTGTCAGCTAATTTCTGAGGTTAGAGCCTAGAAACATCCACTGAAAAGGAAGAACCAGTAATGGAACAGAGAATATTTCTGGAAGGAGATGAGCAAGGTCTTGTAAAACATTGTGTGTTTTAGAGGAGAAGAGGCTCCGGGCAGGACCGTTTGTGGGGGGTGGGGTGCTGAGCATGGCCACTCCCATGGAGATTGAGATTGTGGAGGTCTGGGAAAGACCCCAGCACAGGTCAAACTGCTAGGCCATGAATAGTTAGCGTAGACGAGGGACCAGCCACTTCTCTGCCCGCACGCTGGTTCCCTCCCCACCCCTACCTCCGGCTCCCTCAGAGCATCTCCGTGAGACCTGGGAATGATCTCAACCGTTGTATGAAAACTGTATTTATTTTTTACATCTCTTTGAAGCTGCCATAGCATTTTATTCATCTGGTTTTCCTGTTTATTCCTGTTTCCCATCATGATTCTTTTTCTCAGTCCTTGAGTATTTTTTTTTCTTTTTTTTTATTCCCTGAGTATTTCTTAATGCCGGGCTATGATACCCATTTGTCTCTTCCTTTACTGTTACTCTTGGAATCACTTACTCCTGTGGTCTCAACTCTTATTTGTACAAATAAGTTTTAAATCTGTCCCTGTGCTCCTAACCTCTCCCAGGTTCCAGCCTTGGGTCTCCGGCAGACTGCTGGGCATTCGTACTTGGACCTCCAAAAGTTTCAGGTTCAGGTGTTTCAAACTAGATACATCTTTCCCATAAACTGCCCCCTCTCAGAATTGCTGTAAACTCCGGGTCAGACGGCCCGAATTTTCTTTGGTTACTGTCATCCTGCAGCTGACCGGCGTCAAGTCCTGGGCAGGCACGGAGGGCCTGGAGTGGAAAGAGATTATTGTCGCAGGGGAGGGTTTCATCAGAGTTGAGGTTCTGGGGGAGGTGGGATTTCCAAGTGGTGGTAGCAATAGTAGCCGACACATGGCATGTCCCCTGCCTGGCCCTCTTCCAAGTGGTTTTCCGATGTTAAATCATGTAATCCTCACAACCCTGTGTGAGGTACCCCATCTTACAGACAAGGAAACCATTGAACTTGCCAGATGAGACATGACCGTGAGCTCAGAGAATGGAAGACCCTGCGTTGCTCTAGTTGGCGGGAGGCTGCACCCCTGGCCCGGACGGCTCCCGTGTGAGGTGGGGAGGCGTGTGTGGAAAGAGCCTCACCCAGGCGATCACCTTGCCTTGTCCCTTACGATTCTACAACCTCTGGTGTTCTTGCTTCCATTGCTGCTAAGCCTAAAGTACAGGCCCTTATTTCTTCTCCGCAGGGTTATATAAATAGTTTCCTCATGGATTGTTCTCTTTATTTTCTCTCCGTCTCCCCAGAGCACTGCACCCATCTTGTCACTCCTTCAGTGGCTTCTCCTTTAAAGAATAAAATTCGAACTCCTGAGTCATATAGTGAAGGCCCACCCCTCCTTGTCCACCTAACAAATCCCTTTGCACCCCTGTGCACCTTTGCAAACCTCGAGAGCTTCACCTTTTCTGTGGAGCTTTTCCAGGAATTGTGCCCATCCCTCCCCCCACCCTCCACCCCTCAAGTTCATTTCCCATGAGCCACCTCTGCATCTTGTGTATCTTGTGCTTACTCGTTGGTGGTTCATGTATCTGACTCACTCACTGTGGTGTTTTCCCCTACATTTTCACACTTTCCTACCACAAATAAGCATTGTTTTCTTAATCAGAAAATAGTAAATATTGGGGTGCCTGGGTGGCTCAGTGGGTTAAACCTCTGCCTTGGGCTCAGGTCATGATCCCAGGGTCCTGGGAGCCTGCTTCCCCCTCTCTGCCTACTTGTGATCTCTGTCAAAAAAATAAAAATAAAATATTAAAAATGAAAAAAAAATACATTAAGAAAGTGAAAATAAGGGCACCTAGGTGGCTCAGTTGGTTGAGTGACTGACTCTTGATTTCAGGTCAGATCATGATCTCAGGATCATTAGAGTAAGCCCCCTGAAGGGCTCCATGCTCAGTGGGACGTCTGCTGGGATTCTCTCTTCCTCTCGCTGGGCCCCTCCCCCATCTCTAAAATAAATAAATCTTTAAAAAAAAAAAAAAGTAGGAAGAGACAACATCCATTGAGCACTTACTATGTGTCAGGCATTGTTCTAAGTACTTTATATGTCACTTAATTCAATCCTAATCACAATTCTGTGATAGTAGTTACTATTCTTGTCCCCATCTCTATTCCCTTTCCTCAGGAAAGAAGGAAGGAAGGAGGGACATCGGGGAGCCCCCCAGGCACACAGTAAATGGTGCCGTGAGGCACAAAGGCATTTGGAGCCCCCAGCCCCGGCTTCATCTCCTTATCACTCTCCCCAGCAACGTGAGGAGGAACGTGCTGGCCGCCTTCCAGGACGAGCGAGGGCACTGCGATCTAGGAAGGGCTCTGCATTCTGAAAGTCAGATCATCAGATGTGAGGGGCTCTTCTACAGAATTGTGGATCCTTAATCCACTTGAAATCCGACAGAAAATCTGGCTGCCTTAAAAAAAAAAAAGGAAAATTTGGCTGCCTTTAATACACACAAGGGTACCTGATGGCATGAATCTTTTCACGTCAGCCGCGTCTGACCCTCATAAGCAGCCTCTCCTGAGCAGCAGCACGAGGGGCGCCCAGGGGACTCTCAGCTTAAGCCACCAGCTTTTGATTTTGGCTCAGCTCATCATCTCAGCGTCCTGCACTGGGCTCTACCCTCTGCGTGGAGTCTGCGTGAGATTATCTCCCTCTGCTCCTCTCCCTGCTCAGGCTCGCTCTCAAATAAATAAAATCTTAAAAAAAAAAAAAAGAAAGAAAAGCAGCCTGTGTAGACATTCAGGGGCCAGGGTTCACCTCAGTGTGGATCCCCGCTGCTCCACCGAGGCTCACCCCTCCGCAAAGGCTCTGTGTGCCTTACGCTCCCTTAATTGCTTGCTGGCTTGGGTTTATTTGTGTGTGTGTGTATGTTTATTTACTTTTATTTTTATTATTTTTTTAAAGATTTATTTATTTATTTGACATCAAGCACAAGCAGGGGGAGCAGCAGGCAGAGGGAGAAACAGGGCTCCACCCCAGGACCCCAGGATCATGATGAGCTGAAGGCACTTAACCCGCTGAGCCACCCAGATGCCCCTGTGCTTGTGTTTTTAAATACCCACTGTATTATCATCCATTCACTGCACAGTTTACCCATTGGAAGTGTACAGTTCAGTGGTTAGTATTCAGAGCTCTCCAGGATCACCAGGATCAATTTGAGAACATTTTCATCACCCCAAAAAGAGACTCCATACACTTTGGCTGTGACTCCCGCCCCCCCCCCCC